GGCGCTGCACTCTTCGGAGTGGCGTGCCTCGTGATACGGACCCCTCTGCTGTTGGAGCTGCCGCTGGTGCTGAGGACCCGGGCGTTGGAGCTGCTGCTGGTGCTGAGGACCCGGGCGTTGGAGCTGCTGCTGGTGCTGAGGACCCGGGCGTTGGAGCCGCTGCTGGTGCTGAGGACCCGGGCGTTGGAGCTGCTGCTGGTGCTGAGGACCCAGGCGTTGGAGCTGCCCCTGGTGCTGCGGACCCGGGCGTTGGAGCTGCTACTGGTGCGAAGGACCCGGGCGTTGGAGCTGCCGCTGGTGCTGAGGATGTGGGCGCTGGAGCTGCTGCTGGTGCTGCGGACCCTGGTGCGGGTGTTCCTGCTGGCTCTGGTGTCGCTGCTCGGTCTCGGCCGTACTTTGTTCCGCTCCTTCAGCAGGTTCTTGGTCAGCTTCCTCCACCTTTTCCTCCTCCCTCCTTAGCGTGTCCTCCGCCTGTCCAGCTGCAGTCGGCGTTACCGTCTGCCTCCTCTCTCCCTGGTCCTGCTCCTTACACTGGTCCGAAAGGAGGTCATACTGAGCGGCGTGAGCCTGCGTCTCGTCCTGCGTCGCCTGAGTCTCGTCCTGAGTCGCCTGTCCGCACTGCTCTCTCTAGTAGTCGAGTCCAGCTTCAGCGTCTTCCTGCTGTCCCAGGCACTCACCGGATGTCGCTTCGTCTGTCCACTGCTCCACAGCGTGTCCCACTGCCGTCTCCTCCTGCTTCCTCTCTTCCTGCTCTTGCTGACCTTGGGTCAGACTCTCTTCGTGCTACCAGTCCTACTGTCACGCGTCTCCTGGCTAGTGTTGTCACTGACCCTTCCTTTGAGTCTGTTGCTGCGTCTGCCTTAGTTGCTGAGCTTGTCGACTTTGCTGCTCGCTGTCGTCTAGACTACGCTGCTAGCCTAGTTGCTGAGTCTGAGTCTGTCTGTCCTCCGTCCGTCGGGGGTGAGTGTGCTCTTGGCACTGACGTCCTTGAGGACAGGCAAGAGAAGTTTGAGTGCTTTGCTGCCGCTTTGCCCCATCTCGTGTCCATGCTTGTTGCCCCTGAGGGAGACCCGGATGCACCAGACATCCCGACCCCGCGCTCTTACGCAGAGGCGATGGCCGGTCCCTACTCCTCTTAGTGGCAGTCAGCCATGGACACAGAGATGGCTTCCTGGAAGTCCACAGGCACCTACGTGGACGAGGTTCCCCCACCTGGGGCGAACATCGTCACTGGCAAGCGGCCGCCGGGCTCTCCGCCTGTCTTCAAGGCGCGTTACGTTGCACGCGGCTTCAGTCAGCGAGAGGGAGTTGACTTCTTCCAGACCTTCTCCCCGACCCCGAAGATGACCACTCTTCGGGTTCTGCTGCACGTCGCCGCTCAGCGTGACTACGAGCTCCACTCGCTTGACTTCAGCACTGCTTTCCTGCAGGGCAGCCTGCACGAGGAGATCTGGCTGCGCCGTCCACCTGGCTTCACTGGGTCGTTCCCTCCTGGTACCCAGTGGAGCCTCCGACGCCCAGTCTACGGTCTCAGCCAGGCGCCTCGTGAGTGGCACGACACACTGAGGACTACAATTGCGGCTCTTGGGTTCGCGCCTTCTACTGCTGACCCGTTGCTGTTTCTACGCACCGACACCTCACTGCCGCCGTTCTACGTCCTTGTGTACGTCGACGACTTGGTCTTTGCTACTGCTGACACTGTGGCACTCGCCCACGTGAAGTCGGAGCTGCAGAAGAGACACACGTGCACAGACCTGGGTGAACTGACAAGCTATCTTGGCTTGCGGATCACCCGGGACAGAGCACGCCGCACCATCACCTTGACTCAGTCACACATGGTGCAGCCGGTCCTTCGGCGCTTCCGCTTCACGTACTCCTTGCCTCAGCCCACTCCTCTGCCTACCGGTCACTCGCTCTCAGCTCTGCCTTCGGATGAGTCCGTAGAGCCGAGTGGCCCATATCCAGAGCTTGTGGGTTGCCTCATGTACCTGATGACCTGCACTCGACCAGACCTTGCATACCCTCTCAGCATTCTTGCACGCTATGTCGCTCCCGGCCGTCACCGGAAGGAGCACATGGATGCAGCTAAGAGGGTGTTGTGCTACTTGTGCAGTACGTCGGGCATAGGGCTAGTGCTTGGAGGGCGAGTCCCAGTTGTTCTCACTGGGCACTCAGACGCTTCTTGGGCAGACGACCAGGCTACTCAGCGGTCGTCTCAGGGTTACTCCTTCAGTCTTGGCTCTGGTTCTGTTTCTTGGCGTTCTACTCGCTCTTCTTCTGTTCTCAGCTCCAGTTGTGAGGCTGAGATCTACGCCACAGCCATGGCGGCCCAGGAGCTACGCTGGCTCACCTACTTGCTGACCGACCTTGGAGAGCAGCCTCGTTCTCCTCCAGTGCTGTACGTCGACAACAAGGCAGCCATTGCCTTGTGTGAGGAGCACAGACTGGAGCACAGAACGAAGCACATTGCTCAGCGTTACTTCCTTGCTCGAGAGCTGCAGCAGCGTGGTCAGCTTCGCCTGCGTTACGTGGCCTCTGAGGCCAACACTGCTGATGTGTTCACCAAGGCGCTTCAGCCTTGTGACCATCAGCGCTTTTGCACTCTTCTAGGCCTTGTGCCTACTGGACCTCACTTGCTTACTTCTTGAGTCTGTTTGTACTGTGATCTCTATATATATACCTGCATGTTTACTCTTGTTAGGTTGTGATCATTGTACCTTTTGCTCTATTATAAACCTGCATGTGAACTGGTCTTGTGACCACTTGCTTGTGCTCGGAATTTGTGTGGTATCCTTGAGATCCACCCTGAGCTTGTTTTGCCTTGACTGGTCTTGTGACCCCTAGTTCTCCCCCACTTTGCCTATGGGGGTGTGTCAAACATTATATATGTTGTGTTAGTTAAGACTACAGTGGGTTAGCCTATAGGGGGTACACAATTCTAGGGTTAGGTACTTGTACTCATTTCACTGCTAGTTCATCCATTCCTGTTCAGTGATTCCAACAATATGCAGTATAACATTTTTCTCTCGTGACTGAAGTTGTACTACTCCTTGTCGTCGTGTGCGCAGGTTCTGGTTGTTGGCGACTGTGATGACGACCTCTCGTTGAAGTCGATGTTCGCGTTGGACGAAGCGTCCCGAAGAGCACATGTGCTGTCCGCAGCAACTGTCCAAGAACCATGTATCTTTCCCGGACGGTTCGCTTTGAGCAATGGCGGCGTACGTCAGGTTCGGTTGAAGGGACTCGCGGCGAGGCGTGCTGTTGTCGAGTTGCTCTTCTAGTGAGTAGTATGGTGGTGACTCGGTTGTGCAGGAATCTGTTATCTTTACCATGCAGTTGACGATGTTTCTTGCTTTTTGTGCAGGTTGTCCTGTTGGAGTCGTTGAAGCTTGGACTGAAGGTGTCGGGGTAGCTTGTGTTGAAGTGACTTGGCTGCTCGAAGGTCGAAGTTGTCGCTGTGGTGTTGTCGATTGATGACGATACGGGCAGTGCGTACGAGGATGCCCTGAAGTCTTGCAGATGTGGCAAAACGGAGGTACTGGCTTCGGTCGTTGTTGTTGTCGACTGTTGTTGTTGTTGTAGCGTCGCTGGGTGTGAAACGCGAACTCTGGTACTGACGTTTTCTTCTTATATCGTCCTTCTTGCAGGTCCATGTCCTGCTGCTCGGCATGGATTTCGGCGTAGAGTGCTGCTTCGGAGATTCTCCCGTGTGCTCGTAGTATGGCGCGAGTGGAGCGCCAGTGAGGGCCGAGACCACCGATGACAACCGTGACAAAGGCGTCTTCTGAGATCGATCCCCCACATCGAAGAAGCCTGTCGCGCAGTTCGCGGCAGCGACTGATATACTCCATGCCCTTCTCGTCTGGTTTCATTTCTATTGTTGTCAGTTGCGCCATTAACCAACTTTGGTTTACACTGTCTGTTGCTTGATACAGGTTCTTCAAGTGGTTGTACGCGAGCTCCGCGGAGTTCCCGTAACCTCGGTAAGTCCTTATGTTCTGCTGTTGGGTCGGGGTAATGTTCCTCAGTAGTATTGTGTATGCCATCATCGATTGATAGGTGTACTGCAGCTTCTCATTGTTGAGGTACTAGGAAGGCTTAGGAGCCATATGTCAAACATTATATATTGTTGTAGTTGTTTAGGCTACAGTGGGTTAGCCTATAGGGGGTACACACTTCTAGGTTTCCACATTTGTACTCATTTCATTCTTAGTCATTTCATTCCTTGTTCAACATGGTATAGAGCAGGTCCTTCCTAGGACCGTTTTTCCTAAGGGCCCACCACTACCTACCTGCCTATCTGCCTACCTGCCCTAGGGCGCCTCGACGTTCATGCCTCTAGAGGCCCTGTAGGCCCCGCGCTGTTGCACCTAGAGGCCCCGAATCGGCCCTGCGCCTAACCCTAACGGCCCGCGTCGGCCCCGAGCTCGTCCCCTAGAGGCCCGCGTCGGCCCCGCGCCTACCCTAGAGGCCCGCGTCGGCCCCGAGCCTACCCCTAGAGGCCCGCGACGGCCCCGTCCTTACCCCTAGAGGCCCGCGACGGCCCCGTCCTTACCCCTAGAGGCCCGCGACGGCCCCGATCCTACCCCTAGAGGCCCGCGTCGGCCCCCGATCCTACCCCTAGAGGCCCGCGTCGGCCCCCGTCCCTACTCCCAGAGGCCCGCGTCGGCCCCGTCCCTACCCCTAACAGCCCGCGTCGGCCCCGTCCCTACCCCTTACAGCCCGCGTCGGCCCCGTCCCCAACCCCACCCGCTCCCCGCGCTCCCCTTAGCCGCCTCGAACGGCCCCACCTAGACCGCGCCGCCCGCACCGAACAGCCCGGCCCTAACGGAACCGAGCCGCCCGAACCGAGCCGCCCGACCCGAGCCGCGCCGCCCGACCCGAGCCGCCCGAACCGAGCCGCGCCGCCCTACCTATACCGAGCCGCGCCGCCCTACCTGTACCGAGCCGCGCCGCCCTACCTACCTACTGCTCCTGCTGCTTTTACTACTGCTACTACCATGGCTAGCCCTCCAGTGCTAGCCTTTGATGCTGAGGGGCGCCCAGTGAAGTTCGACACCTGGCTTGATGACCTACACCTCTTCCTACAGCTCACTGCCAAGGAAGACATCTCGCTGTACGATCACGCCCTAGGCCACGCTACTGCTCCTGCTGCTACTGCCGACAGCACTGCTCGCTCACAGTGGCAGACTCGTGACGCCCATGCTCGCTTCGCTATCCGCAACTCTCTGCCGAAAGATGAGCGCGAGCACTTTGGGCAGCACAAGACTGCACAGGCACTGTACACTGCTGTCGTTGCCCGCTACTCCTCACCGGCCTCTGCTGCTCTAGGCCGTCTCTCTCTTCCCTACCTGTTCCCCGACTTAGCTTCCTTTCACACTGACGCTGACCTCATTACCCACCTCCGCACTAGTGAGGCTCGCTTCCGCGCCGCTATGCCTGATGAGTTCCTAGCCACGAACCCACCCCCGCTCTGGATCACTCTCTACCACCTAGTCACGCGCCTCTTTGACTCGCTGCGCTCAGTCAGGGACCACTTCCTCGCTCGCTGCCCCACCGAGCTCACCATTGCCCTCCTCGAGAAGGAACTCCTTGCAGCCGAGACTAGCATAGTCGCTGTAGGTGCCTCTCGCGGTGACCCCCGCACCCCGTTCTTTGAGGGGTGTTCTCCCTCCCCCCTTCTTCCCTCTGACGCCTCTGCTGCTGCTGTCGACCTCCTTGGTGCTGAGAAGGTCGGGACTGCGTCTGCTTCGGCCGGACGCCGCAGCGGCAAGGGCAAGGGGGGCAAGAGCGGTGGTGGTGACAGCGGGGGTGGCGGTGGTGGGGGAGGTGGTGGCGGGGGGGGTGGCGCGGGTGGGGGAGGTGGCAGCGGTGGTGGGGGTGGCGGCAGCGGCGGGGGAGGTGGCCGGGGCGGAGGAGGTAGTGGGGGTGGCGGTGGACGAGGCAGCGGCAAGGGTTGGGGTGGTCGAGGAGGTGGTGGCGGGAGTGGTGGGCGTTGCGGCACTGGCGGTGGCCAGGGACACCAGCACACTCCCTCGCCCCAGGAGGTCCGTGAGTGGTACTCTCAGCACGGGGGGGGGGGGGGTGGCCTTAGCTGCACGTACGTCATTCGCACTGGTGACCGCACTGGCCAGCCGTGTGGGGGACCGCACGCCACACAGCGTTGCTTCGCTCGTCTGAGCGACGCTTGGCGTGTTCAGTTCCCTCAGGCCACTGAGCTGCCCCGCTGGCTTGATCTCCTGAAGAAGGGGATTGATATCTATGCTCTAGATTTTGATGCTATTCTCACTGCCATGTATGTGATGTCTACTAGTGGAGAGGGTTCTGAGTACCTGAGTGTAACGCCAGACCCGGGCATTAGGACGAGTGCGTCTGCTGCTCCAGGTACCCACGTGTCTGCTACCCCAAGTGCTGGTGAGGCTGCTGCTCTAGGTGCGTGCGTGTCTGCCCCCCCTGGTACTGTGTCGACTGCAGCACTGCACACCTTCACGCTGGATTCAGGTGCCTCTCGCTGTTTCTTTCGTGACCGCACTGCCCTTGAGCCCCTTGCTCGGCCAGTTGCTGTCTCCCTTGCTGACCCCTCTGGGGGTCTGGTCATTGCGACCTCCTCCACTGTCCTTCCCTGCCCTGCGGTCCCGTCGGGCACACTGTCAGGTCTCCACCTCCCCTCGTTCTCCACGAACTTGGTGGCAGGTTCTGCTCTCCAGGACGGGGGTGTTCACCAGTTCACTCCTGCCTACGAGCGTGTGACACACTGCACGTGTGCTCGTACGGGCCGCCACTTGGCTACCTTCACCCGGCAGCCGGGGTCGGACCTGTACACACTGAATACTGCCTCCCCTCAGGTCGCTGTGTCTGCGTGTGCGTTTGCGTCCGCGTCAGGTCAGCTGTCTGCCCCCTGCTCGTGTCGCTCTCTAGCGCACGAGACTGTCCTCTGGCACCACCGACTTGGCCACCCGTCTGTGCAGCGCCTCCGTGCCATGCACTCCCAGTACCTTGTCTCTGGTCTTCCCAGGGTTCTCCCTCCTCTCCCACCCTCGCCTGCTCCTCCCTGCCTTCCCTGTGTCGAGGGGCGGCAACGCGCCGCTCCTCACTCCTCCTCGTTTCCCCCGACGACTGCTCCTTTGCAGACGCTCCACATGGACGTGTGGGGCCCAGCCCGCGTCCGTGGTCAGGGTCAGGAGAGGTACTTCCTGATCGTTGTTGACGACTACTCGCGCTACACCACGGTCTTCCCCTTGCGCACCAAGGGTGAGGTCCCTGATGTTTTGATCTTTTGGATCCGCAGAGCTCGTCTCCAGCTCAGCGAGCGTTTCCGCTCGGACTTTCCTGTCCTGCGCTTGCACTCTGACAGAGGTGGTGAGTTCTCCTCCGACCTCTTGGCAGCCTACTGTGCTGAGCACGGCATTGAGCAGTCGTTCACGCTTCCGGCCTCTCCACACCAGAATGGGGTTGCGGAGCGCCGCATTGGCCTGGTCATGGAGGTCGCTCGTACCTCCTTGATCCATGCGGCTGCCCCCCATTTTCTGTGGCCGTTTGCGGTCCGGTACGCTGCGCATCAGCTCAACCTCTGGCCCCGTGTCTCCTTGCCGGAGACCTCGCCCACACTGCTGTGGACGGGGGAGGTAGGCGATGCGTCGCGTTTCCGGGTCTGGGGATCTCGAGCTTTTGTTCGCGATTCGTCTGCGGACAAGCTCTCCTCTCGTGCTGTTCTCTGCGTCTTCCTCGGCTTTGTCCCGGACGCACCTGGTTGGCAGTTTTACCACGCCACCTCGCGCCGGGTCTTGCCCTCTCAGGACGTCAATTTTGTTGAGTCTGTCCCCTACTACCGCCTCTTCCCCTACCGCACTTCCCCGCTCCCTCCCCCGCCTCTCTTCCTCGCGCCAGGTGCTGGTGTCGTAGACCCCCTCCCCCCTCAGGGTGCCGCTCCCTCAGGTGTGTCTCAGGTAGACCCGGTCGAGCCTGTTGAGGTTGCTGTCGACTCTCGTCCTGCTAGGGGTGCTGAGCCTGGGGGTGCGGACACTGGGGGTGCTGAGCCTGGGGGTGCGGACTCTGGGGGTGCTGAGCCTGGGGGTGCGGACTCTGGGGGTGCTGAGCCTGGGGGTGCGGACACTGGGGGTGTTGAGCCTGGGGGTGCTGTGCCTGGGGGTGCTGAGCCTGGGGGTACTGCGCCAGGGGGTCCTCCGCCTGGCCGAGACCTCTCCTCCGAGCTGTTGCGTGAGTGGTACTTAGAGTACTGCAGCCTCCGGAGGGATACCTCTGGGACCAGGCGCGCTACGGAGACTGGTGCTGGCACTTCTCCTTCTAGTCGGGAGCTCCCCTCTTGTGAGCGGATCCGTGAGTGGTACGAGCGCCGTTGCACACTTCGTAGTGGCGCGCCTCGTCGCACGGACCCTGCTGCTGCTGGTGCTGCGGACCCGGGCGTTGGAGCTGCTGCTGGTGCTGAGGACCCGGGCGTTGGAGCTGCTGCTGGTGCTGAGGACCCGGGCGTTGGGGCTGCTGCTGGTACTGCGGACCCGGGCGTTGGAGCTGCTGCTGGTGCTGCGGACCCGGGCGTTGGAGCTGCTGCTGGTGCTGAGGACCCGGGCGTTGGAGCTGCTGCTGGTGCTGAGGACCCGAGCGTTGGGGCTGCTGCTGGTACTGCGGACCCGGGCGTTGGAGCTGCTGCTGGTGCTCAGGACCCGGGCGTTGGAGCTGCTGCTGGTGCTGAGGACCCGGGCGGTGGAGCTCCTGCTGGTACTGCGGACCCGGGCGTTGGAGCTGCTGCTGGTGCTGAGGACCCGAGCGTTGGAGCTGTGACTGGTGCTGAGGACCCTGGTGTTGGAGTCCCTGCTGGTGCTGCGGACTCGGGCGTTGGTACTGCCGCTGGGGGCACTCGTGCTGTCCCTGCTGTGTCTGGAGTCGCCGCGCGCCCTCAACCGTACTTCGTTCCGCTCCTTCAGCAGGTTCTTGGTCTCTCGCCTCCTCCTGGTCCTCCCCCTCCTTTAGTGTGTCCACTGCCTGTTCAGTCACTGCGTGCTCCTTCTCCTTACTCTCGTCCTACTGACGGTCTTACTGAGCGTCGTGAGCCTGCGTCTCGCCCTACATCGCCTGTCCGTCCTGCTAGCACTGGAGCTCGTACTTCGCGTCCACGTCCTCCTCCTGCCCCTGGCACGCACCGGATGTCTCTGCGTCCGTCCACTGCCCCTCTGCATGCCCCTTTGCCTTCTCCTCCTGCTTCCTCTCTTCCTGCTCTTGCCGACTCGGAGTCGGACTCTCTTCGTGCTACCAGTCCTACTGTCACGCGTCTACTTGCTACTGCCGTCACTGACCCTTCTTTCGAGTCTTCTGCTGCGTCTGCCCTAGTTGCTGAGCTCGACGACTTTGCTGCTCGCTGTCGTCTTGACTACGCTGCTAGTCTTGTCGCTGAGTCTGAGTCTGTCTGTCCTCCGTCCGTCGGGGGTGCGTGTGCCCTTGGCACGGACGTCCTTGAGGACAGGCAGGAGGAGTTTCAGTGCTTGGCTGCCGCTTCACCTCACCTCGCGTCTGTACTGCTAGCTCCTGAGGGAGACCCGGATGCACTAGACATCCCGACTCCGCGCTCTTACGCGGAGGCGATAGAGGGTCCCTACTCCTCTCAGTGGCAGGCAGCTATGGATGCAGAGATGGCTTCCTGGAAGTCCACAGGCACCTACGTTGACGCTGTCCCCCCTCCTGGGGCGAACATCGTCAGTGGCATGTGGATCTTCAGATGAAGCGGCCGCCGGGTTCTCCGCCTGTCTTCAAGGCGCGTTACGTGGCTCGTGGCTTCAGTCAGCGGCAGGGAGTTGACTACTTTCAGACCTTCTCCCCCACCCCGAAGATGACCACTCTTCGGGTACTCCTGCACGTTGCTGCTCACCGGGACTACGAGCTTCACTCTCTCGACTTCAGCACTGCTTTCTTGCAGGGCAGCCTGCACGAGGAGATCTGGCTGCGTCGCCCACCTGGCTTCACTGGGTCTTTCCCTCCTGGTACCCAGTGGAGTCTCCGGCGTCCAGTCTACGGTCTCCGCCAGGCGCCACGTGAGTGGCACGACACACTCAGGACCACGCTGGCGGCACTTGGGTTTGCTCCTTCTACTGCCGACCCGTCACTGTTTCTGCGCACCGACACTTCTCTGCCGCCGTTCTACATCCTCGTGTACGTCGACGACTTGGTCTTTGCCACTGCTGACACTGCTGGACTCGCCTACGTGAAGTCCGAGCTGCAGAAGAGACACACGTGCACTGACCTGGGTGAACTGCGCAGCTACCTTGGCTTGCAGATCACACGGGACAGAGCACGCCGCACCATTACCCTGACTCAGTCACACATGGTGCAGCAGGTCCTTCAGCGCTTCGGCTTCACGTACTCCTCGCCTCAGGCCACTCCTCTGTCTACTCGCCACTCGCTCTCAGCTCTGCCTTCGGATGAGTCCGTAGAGTCGAGTGGCCCGTACCCAGAGCTTGTTGGCTGTCTCATGTACCTGATGACCTGCACACGACCTGACCTTGCATACCCTCTTAGCATTCTTGCGCGCTATGTTGCTCCTGGGAGACACCGACCAGAGCACATGGCTGCAGCGAAGAGGGTGTTGCGTTACTTGTGCAGTACGTCGGGCATGGGACTAGTGCTTGGAGGGCGGAGTCCAGTGGTCCTCACTGGTCACGCGGACGCTTCTTGGGCTGACGACCAGGCTACGCAGCGGTCGTCACAGGGTTACACCTTCAGCCTTGGTTCCGGCTCTGTTTCGTGGCGGGCTACTCGCTCGTCTTCTGTTCTCGGCTCCAGTTGTGAGGCTGAGATCTACGCAGGGGCCATGGCTGCTCAGGAGCTTCGCTGGCTCACCTACCTGCTGACCGACCTTGGAGAGCCGCCTCGTTCTCCTCCAGTCCTGTACGTCGACAACAAGGCCATGCTGGCCTTGTGTCGAGAGCAGAGACTGGAGCACAGAAGAAAGCACATTGCTCTCCGCTACTTCCTTGCTCGTGAGCTACAGCAGCGTGGTCAGTTGCGACTTGCGTACGTGGCCTCTGAGGCCAACACTGCTGATGTTTTCACCAAGGCACTTGCGCCTTGTGATCATCAGCGCTGCTGTACCCAGCTGGGTCTTGTGTCTGTCCTGCCTCACTTGCTCTCCTCTTGACCCTCTTTGTACTGTTACATATATATATCACTGCTCTTGCTTGTTTAGTCTTATATATATATATGTACTCCTGCATGTGAACTGGCCTTGTGGCCTTGAACTTGTGCTCGGATTTTGTGGTGACATTGTGATCCACCCTGAGCTTGCTTTGCTTTGCTTTGCTTTACTTGACTGGTCTTGTGACCCCTAGTTCTCCCCCACTTCGCCTATGGGGGTGTGTCAAACATTATATATTGTTGTAGTTATTTAGGCTACAGTGGGTTAGCCTATAGGGGGTACACACTTCTAGGTTTCCACATTTGTACTCATTTCATTCTTAGTCATTTCATTCCTTGTTCAACACCATAGCTAGTAGGTCGAGTAGTTGAGTTCGAGTGAGTTTGGGTAAGTCGAGAAGATTGCAACAAAGGAGTGGTTTCATTATAGAGCGAGCAGTACAAATAGGCAAGAATGAAGAAAGGTGCACCACCAAACAGAAAGTTAGATGACTACAGTAGTCTACACTACAGGCAGTTACAAAACAATATATAGAATTATATATTATTCTGACACGCCCCCATAAGTGCCTGTAGGGAAGAATGTGCAGTCAACGCCCCCATAATGGGGTACACGAGGCAGAGTGCGCAGCAGAACGGGAGAGGGCAGGCAAGGAGGAGGAGAGAGAGAGGGAGAGAGAGGAGAGGAGGTGATAGGTTCTGGTTGGTCACCCCCTACATCCCCTCACCCTCCCCCTCCCCCTCCCCCCCACACTGCTGCAGGAGCAGCACAGGGGGGAAAACGGAGGAGGATGGGAAGGGGAGACCACACATCACCCATCACCCCCACACCCGCCACCCCCAGTCCCTCCCCGGGCTCCCCCACACCCTCACACCCTCCCCCCCAGCGGCAGCTGCAGCAGAGGGAACAAAAGGAGGAGGAGAAGGGGGGGGGGGGGGGGGGGGGGGGGGGGGGGGGGGGGACGCACGGCCTCCCCGGGCGCCAAAGCAGGCGGCAGAGGGGGCGACGCCTGCCCCCCCCTTTCAGGTGCGGCCCCCAAAGGAGCCGCGACAGGTGACAGGAAGAAGGGGGGGGGGCGGTGCACGTGCCCCCGGTGTGCCGCAGCTGGTGACGAGGCATGGCCGGGGCGGGGTCGGGACCGCAAGTGGGCGGGGCCGAAGTGGGCGACGGGGCCGCAAGGGTGGGCGGGGCCGCAGGTGGCGGGGCCGCAGGTGACATTGGGGCCTCAGGTGGCGGGGCCGCAGGTATAGGAGACGGGGCCGGGGCCGCAAGGTAGTCGACAGGGCCGCAACGGAGGGCGGCGGAGCCGCAAATGTGGGCGGCGAGGCCGCAGGTGAGGGCGGCGACGGGGCCGCAACTGAGGGTGGCGACGGGCCGCAGGTCAGAGCGGCGACGGGGCCGCAACAGAGGGCGGCGGGGCCGCAAGTGAGGGCGGCGGGGCCGCAATTAAGGGCGGCGACGGGTCGCAGGTGAGGGCGGCGACGGGGCCGCAGGTGAGGGCGGCGACGGGGCCGCAACCGAGGGCGGCGACGGGCCGGGGCCGTAGGTAGGTGACGGGGCCGGGCCGCAAGTAGGCGACGGGGCCGTAGGGCCGCAGGTAGGCGACGGGGCCGGGGCCGCAGGTAGGCGACGGGGCCGTAGGGCCGCAGGTAGGCGACGAGGCCGTAGGGCCGTAGGTAGGCGACGGGGCCGTAGGGCGGTAGGTAGGCGACGGGGCCGTAGGGCCAGGGGCACGTCACGGGGCGTGCCGAACACAGATTAGCAGCGGAAGCTTTAGGGTAGGCACACAGATGAGGACCTTGGTCACTCTGATAACATGTTGAGGTACTAGGAAGGCTTAGGAGCCATAGCTAGTAGGTCGAGTAGTTGAGTTCGAGTGAGTTTGGGTGAGTCGAGAAGATTGCAACAAAGGAGTGGTTTCACTATAGAGCGAGCAGTACAAATAGGCAAGAATGAAGAAAGGTGCACCACCAAACAGAAAG